AAAAAAAAAATTTGTCCCGACGATCTATCTTCTATACGCAAATGGCTACCATATTGAAAAATATACTATTTTTGTATGATAATTATGGGTTTTGTATTTTATTTTAATAGAAGTTGATGTTGCTTTTGCAATTATCCATTAATTATTAAAATTAAACACTATCTACAGATTTGCATCGAAGCGTTTCTTATGATAGTGATTTTAATCACTGTCAGATTAAATCTATACTGGACTCTACTATGCAATGTCTCCACTATGCCGCGACCCCACTGTGCTACCGTTTTTTTTTTCATATTTATAACTACAATTTTCGTGATTTTTTGAGAATTTTTTTAATTTTAAAACGTTAATGGGACAAGAAAACTTCAGATTCAAAATCAGTAGAATAATATACATAACAATCATACTCAATCTGAATCCAAAAAATTGTTTTCATTTCGATAATTTCGATTTTTCATGATTTATCGCAATTTTTTGGTTTTTTTCATTTTACTCAAATGTGAAGGGTGACGAAGGGCCAAACGGACTTCAAATTCGGATTAAACGGGTCATTTTACATGTCCGTAGGTAGCTTCGGTCAAAAGTATAGACAACTTTTTTTTTTTTGTGTGCCAGTGTTATCAATGAAATATAATAAAATATTAAATAAGAATTTAATAATATTAATATTACTTTTTTTATATACAGGAAAAAGGTATAATGTATCTACGAAAATAATTCAAGTAGATTTCACTGACAAATATCCGAAAATATATAATCTCATTGAAAAAGAACTACATGAAATGGATATTGGCGTATTGGTAAACAATGTTGGAATGGGTCCTCCTTATCCTGATTATTTTTTAAATTACGGCGAAAACCGTACAGTATATGATGACATTTTACAGTGTAATATTATGTCTGTTACGAGAATGTGTCAAATCGTTTTACCTAATATGGTAAAAAAACATTGTGGAATAATTATTAATGTATCTTCAGCATCGGCCGATTTAAATTGTCCCTTATTGACTGTTTATGGGGCAACCAAAGTAAGGCAATTTATTAACTTGATATAGTAATGAGACAATATATTTTTTCAAACATTTTTTATAAAACCTGGATTTTATCATTATAAAAATCTTAATTTACCACAAATATTAAAATATTTTGATTTCTTGAGATGCATTTTCGAAATCTTCTTGTTTTCAGTCTGATATATTTAACGATTAGGCACTTTTTTCGTTTAATATCAGCAAAACAAGATTGTTATAAAAATATTATTTTGAGTTTTGTGCACTCCCATGCGATAGTAATAAAACAACGACTTTTGTCATGTTTTTCGTATTTATCTACGTAATTATTCCCGCTTTTACTGAACCATTTTTTCTTAACGATACACTAAAAGATCATAAAAAGTTTAAGCTATCAGCGTCACAACTTTGTAAGATTCCATTAATCGCTGTAATAAAGAGAAATGTTATAAAAAATTACAGCTGTCACAAAACGGTCAATGTTTATACTTTTAGTGTTCACTTTCTATTGGAATAACTTTTTGAAAACAGGACAGCCATTGCCAAATTTTTATAAATATACTTTAAACATTCGTATTGATGACGATAGGCCTTTTTTGAAAATTTAATCATTAACTGTGGAGACTTAAAAATAAACTATTTTTTCTTTTCAATTAATGACAATATTCTAAAAAAACTAGGTTTTTTACCTTTTTTAAACCTAAATCAAATTAAAGATAATACAGTGTATTATAAGATATAAAAAAAACTATCTGAAATCTCCAAAAACCGGTCTAACTATTTGAATATTGTTTAGATCAACATTTTTTTTATAAAATTTTTAGAATAATATTTTAGAAAAATTCCTTTTTTATAACATACTTTTCGAAAATATGATCATTAACTAATGTATTGTGGAAGCTCAAAAATCATATAAAAATATTTTTTGTTTTAATTTTAGATGTTTCTACAAAGCTAATACAATTTATTTTTAGATGATAAAAGAAAAATAATACGAAATTCCGGAATTTAGTATTTATTGGACATTAAAATAAAAAATCATACGATTTTTCATAAAATTAGTCGTTTTTGTAATATTTTGCATAAAAATGGAATGCTTACATCACACATTCTAAATTATTTTAATTTATTTAGGTATTTATTGAGAAATTCAGTGTCGATTTAGCTACTGAATATAAAAAAAGTGGTGTAATCATCCAATGTATAAAACCAGGTTTTGTAACCACCAACATGAGTAGGATCCGCAAAACATCGTGGACTATTCCAAATTCAGAGTTTTATGTCCAATCTGCACTCCAAACTGTTGGATTTCAAAGTGTAACCTCAGGATATATCCCACACACTGTTTGGGTAAGTAAAGTTTAAGTAGGTCCGCATTTACATTTTTTGAGAGATGTCAAGTTCTTTTTTCTTATCGTTAATAATTTATGTTGAATAGTACTAACCCGTTACTGAGTATCATCTCCACAAGTTATTGTTTTTACAAAACTATTTGTATATAATAATATATTATCATGAGTACTTATTGTCTATTTATACAGATTACATATTTAGCTTTAATAGAAAAAAAATAATAATAATAATACTGTGTTATTAAGAATATTTACCACTAAGCTCTTATAAAGCTTAGGTATAATATAAATATAATTAAAAAACTAATTCATTGAGATAATTTGAACATTATTATTGGGACGTAACATTTTAATTTACATAAATATAAATGTAAAAATATAAATAAATAAAGTGATACTATTAATAAAACTTAAAAAAGTCTCTTCGATTTCTTAATACTTTATTTCCCAGAAAACGGGCGTATTTAAACATAAACAGTAAATTTTCGTTATGTCGAATCTCAAGGGGAACAGAAAAAAGTTCGAGATATCAAGTTTTATTAAAAAAAATAAATAAATAAATGTATGTTGTATAATGTACATGAATAATAAATAATACGAATGCCTTATATAAATAATTTGAATACTTAAAATACTGATATGACTGAATAAATTATTTTTTTTTGAAAAAATGTGTCATTAAAGTTTGCTTAATATTACTTCTTACTGCCACGATGTCTTCCAAATTAGATAATGCAGAAAAAGCCTTATCTTCCTTACCTGTAGTAGTTTCAACAAAATTCCTTAGTGTTTTTAAAGCATGTTTAGCTTGTTGAATTGTAACTTCAAAAATGACTTCCTCCTCATTTTGTGGTTCGTCTTCACTCTCGCTGGTATTTTCGATGGTTTCTGATAAAATATCGTTATCTGTCCATGTCCCACATACGTGTACATTATTGTCCATTTCCACATAATGTGAAAAACTTATGTCGTCTAAATTAAGATGATCAGCAACAATATTCCATTTAACATCAGAAATAGTAGTTGAGTTATCTAATGCAATTATATCACCGTCTTTAAATCCGGCTTTTATAAAGCAATTCAATATAGTCTGTGGTGTTACACTTCTCCAAGCCTTATCAGACATTCTTATAGCTTCGAGTATGTTTATAGAAAATGCTTCATTGTTATCTGTATTGTGTGAATGTATTTGGAGGAATATTGAATTCATTGGCGATCTCACATTTTTTACGGTCACCTTTTTTAATTAGCTCTATTAAACGAACTTTTTTCCGAAATTGAAAGAACATTTAAATTACGCTTCTTTTCCATTTCACTACAAACGAAAAAACAAACAAACGAATTACGAAAGACTACAAACGTGACTACCAACGCGCTAAGTCACAATCGTTAACTGAAAGTACTGCACAATTCCTGTTTTAACCGTAATAAAAATATTATTTATGAACTCGAGATAACGAAAAACGATTAATTTTATATCGAGTTATCGAGAGCAAAACACTATTAAGTAGTGATGGGAAATATCGAATAGAAACTATCGAACTATTCGATAGTTGTCCACTATTCGAACTATTCGATAGTCATTCAAAAAATATTCGAATAGTAAAAATATTCGATAGTTACACAATATATTCGAATAGTTTATATAAAAAATAAACTATTCGATAGTTTATGCTAAAAATAAACTATTCGGTTGTATAAAAAGTATTCGAATACTATTCGATAGTTTAAAATATTCGAAAATGCCCATCACTACTATTAAGTGTAATGGTAGTTTCAAGGGGAATTCAAAGTAGTTCGAGATAACAAAAAATTCGAAATAGCGACGTTCGACATATTAAGAATCTACTGTAATAATATTATTTGTTTAGGTAAAATGTATTCAAATTGCTCGAAAAATCAGCCCTCAGTTTGTACAGAACAAAACTATGGAAACTATGCTTGAAAGTCGTTTTAGAATACTGAATAAACAAAACAGATTTAAGAAAAATAAATGATACAATATTTATATTGTAGTATAATTAATTAATAAGAAGAATAATAATGATAAAAAAAATATAAATCTATTATATATATATTATATACTCTTAGATATACATTTCTATAATATGATATTTTAATAAATGAATCTTAATGATAACTATATTTAATCAACTATATTTAATATTCCGATTTTCCAATTTTATGTTTTGTACTGTCAAATGGGCCAATTTGGGGTTTGGTAAACATGGGATAGGTAAATATCTTTTAACAAAAAAAGTGATAAAAATCGAAAGCATTAGTAAAATATATACAAGTATTGTTAAAAAATATAAAAATATTTGTTCAAAAATAAAAGTGATGAAATTTGTAAAATTTTTAATTGATCTAGTCAACTCATTTGACAATATAAAGAATGTTCAATAAGTAAGGAAACAGGTCAATTATTACAAACGAGAACAATAGAAACCCGTTTCCTTACTTAATGAACACGCTGTATATTTATACCACAAATATTATTTTTAGTGCTACCTGTTTAAAAGTTGTATTTTTTAAGAATAAACATTAATTAATTCAATAAATTATGTGATTTTTTATAGTTACTTAATTGAATGGCTTATAAATTTTAAACAAGGATTATTTATAATAAGTTTTATGTTAAGTTACTGGCTTTATTTGAAAAAAATTATAAATAATTTAAAAAAATTAAAATCAAATTTCCTTACGTACACTGCTATCTTTTATGGAAATTAGATTATTTTAAAATTATAAAGATTATTTCAACAAGATGGCAAATTCCGGAAATCAGTAAAAACTTTTATTATTTTAAATATAAGTATGCATTTTATATTTTATAAATAAAACTGTTTTGTTATAGAAATGAAAACAAAGCTTCCGATTTTATACCTGTAGTTTATAAATTTCGTGTCCAACCAAAAACCAGGGGTAAAACATATGCTCTTCAACAACCATTTGCTACTTTATGGGATAATTTAATTACAGTATTGTGGTCAGTATATAGTAAAGAACGAAAAATTCAAATTGGTACTATCAACATATTTTATTAATACCACAAAAATCGTTATAAATGTTCTTATGTTTAGGAATAACTCAATTGCAGTGGGCACTTGAATTTATGAAATGTATGAAAGTAGACCACGGTTATCCAGAAAGTATAGAAAAAATTGTGGGTGAACTTGAAGATCATTTAATAGGACTTTATGCTAAAGTAGGGCAAAAATTACAGGATATTAAGGAAAAAAAAGCACAAAAGGAAAAACAACAAAAAGAAACAGATGAAAATGGTAAGTACAATAGTCACATTTTACATTAAACATAACCCAAACACGTCACTAGTGACATTAAGATAAATACAGTGGACCCCCGGTAATCCGGCCCCTGGTTAATCCGGCGCCCCTTGTAATCCGACATGTCTATTATTATTGGGTATTTTTTTTTACAATCTTCGATAATGCATTTGAACAGGTTACAATTGTGCCATCACTATTGTGCTCAAAGTATAGATTCTTTGTGTACTGTTTATTCATTGTGTATTACGTATACGTACCTAGTAAATTATGTCGTCACAAGCCCAGAAGCGAAAGCACAAAACACTGACAATTAAAGAAAAATGTGATATTTTAGACCGTTTAAATCGTAATGAATCTTTTAGTAGTTTAGCAAGTGAATATGGCGTAAGCCGATCTACAATTTATAATATTAAAAAAAATCATGAGAAGATTAAAAACTTCGTATCAACTACTGACTGTGAGCCAGGCAAGAGACAGACACTCAAGAAAGCTGAACATCCAGAAGTGGAAGAAGCTTTGTACATGTGATTTCTTCAGGAAAGAAATAGGCATGCTTCAATTTCGGGACCCATGTTGGCCATGAAAGCTAAGTTTTTTTATAAGGAAATTATAAAAAAAGATGATTTTGTGGCTAGCAAGGGATGGTTAGAACGTTTTAAAAGTCGTCATGGCATACGTTTAATGACTATAACAGGAGAGAAACTTTCTAATGATGCTACCTGCATAGAGCCATTTAAATTAAGATATTTGCAAAAGGTGAAAGATTTAAATCTTAACCCATCACAAGTGTACAATGCAGACGAATCAGGACTTTTTTGGCGTGTGATACCAAACAAAACTTTCGTTTCCTTTAACGAAAAATCCGTACCTGGGCGAAAAGTAAGTAAAGAGCGTGTAACCATACTACCATGTGCAAATGCTGCGGATACACACGCGCTAAAAATGGTGGTCGTTGGAAAATTGAATAAACCACGTGCATTCAAAAACATTGATTTGCCTGTACATTATTATGGTCAAAAAAGTGCGTGGATGACAAAAGACCTTTTCAGGAAGTGGTTTGATGAATGCTTTGTACCAGAAGTTAAAAAATGGTTGAAAAATCATAATTTTCCTCAAAAAGCGTTATTGCTTATTGATAACGCTCCCGGTCATCCGTCTGAAGAAGAACTGACAACTGAGGATAAATGCATCACTGCGATATTTCTTCCACCAAACTGCACTGCACTGATTCAACCAATGGATCAGCATATCATTCAGTTTGTCAAGCAAGATTATAAGAAAAATCTACTTCTGAAAGCTGTATCAAAAGATCAGCCAATAGAAAAAACTTTAAAAGAATTCAATATGAAAGACTTGGTTTTTGCTCTTTGTCAATCGTGGAATGCATTACCTTCGTCAACTATTACATCGTCTTGGAAAAAGTTATGGCCGGACATAGTCACCAGTCCTAGCAACGATCCGCAAATCAGTGTAACTTCGGAAGTAATAGAGAAAGTTGCTGCTGAAACACAGATAAGATCGCAAGATTTGGAAATCTGGTAACATGGATTGGATAAGGAGGAAAATATTTTTTATGAAATGTCTGACGATGAGATTATAAAAGAGATATCTAGTAATACAACCATAAATCAGGAAGATGACGACGACGTAATTGCAACTACTCCGCAAGTGATAGCACAAGATGCAGCTAACGCCTTTGAACTGGGTTTGCAATGGGCTGAGGAGAATGGTGCATCCTACAACTTTTACTTTTAAGAAGACTGAGGGACAGAGCATTGGTCTCGCGTTTCAATAATGTTAAGCAAAAAAAAATTGATAAATATTTTCATGCTTCATAAATTCATATCATGATTTTTATTCATAATTTTTGAATATTTTAGTATGTATATTTGTTTAAACACAATTACATTGTAATTGTATTCCTTAATGTAAAGTTGTTTTTTTTAAGTTCTCTAGCATTAATGACGTTAATTTTATAATAAAACATAAGCTTTCTATTGTGTTGTTTAATTTACTTAAGTCGACATACATAATGAAGCATGATTTATACTTCACACCAGGGCCTATCAAGACCAAATCTTATCTTTGGATTTGTGATTTTTCGGATTACAAGGTACCCTTTTGTTAAAATTTCCGGACTATAGGAGGTCTTAGGGAATACTCTATAATCCGACAAATTCGATAGTTCGACACTGACCTGCAAAACGTTTGTCGGATTACCGGGGCTCCACTGTATATATATATTGCAATTAAAAAAAAAATAACAACAAAATAGTTGACTTTGAATTGATTAAAATACAAGATTAAGTTTTCGTGTAATTTAATGTATATTTCATGAATAGATTTTTTGAAAATAAGGCAAAATATCGTTGAGGTTTCATTAAATTGTAATATCCTTAATGGTTATTGTATTGTAAACGGTATGTCGTTAACCACCACTTACACCCAAAGAAAAACCTCAATCAATTTTGATAGAGAAATTTTATCAAGGGTTTATGATAATGTTTTATTAATATGAACAAAATAATTATTCTTATAAACAATTATTGTTCAAGACAAGAAAAAAAATTATCGTATTGATAAATATATCATAGATTCAATAGTAATGATATATTTATCAAATTGAACAATGAATTTATTATATAGATCGAGGTTTTTCTTTGAGTGTAGTATTAGACGTACGTTGTCACTAAAACAGCACATAAAATAAAACAAAAACTGTAGCACAATTTGGACGTGACATAATTGGGACATGTATATCTGACAATGATTAAAATCACTACCATAAGAAACGCTAGTTTCATATAGATAAAACATACATTTTATCCCTACTATCGACTATTGTGTTCTATGTAATGATTACATAGAACACAACCCGGCTAACCCGGCAAACGTTGTTTTGCCAAAAAGTTTTTTTAACATTAAGTGAACCCAGCGAACTTAACGCCTTCAGATAAACTTCTACTAATAAAATATCTATTTATATATTATACTTCTAAATCAAAAAACTACTCTATCTAAAAAACTAATCAAAAATCAGGAATATTAAAGGAAATAGGAATTAATTTTGTTTATTGTATAATCCACCAATTCCTTAAAATTAAACACTATTTACAAATTTGCATCGAAGCGTTTCTTATGGTAGTGATTTTAATCATTTGCTATCACAGTCACGGATTGTTTATTATCAAATATGACTATCAATAGATATACTTTTTGTATTGTCAGTGTATTTATAAACTCACAACAATGTACCTTACTATCACTGATAATAACAATGCTGTGTACCTACTAATATCGATGTCATAAAAAATCAATTAGCTACCTGTATTTGTATTATACCTGTGTATTATACCTATATATTAACTCAAAAATTTGAAACTTTAAATGTTTATATCTAATAAACAAATTTTATTAAAAATTTTTAAAAANATTTGAAACTTTAAATGTTTATATCTAATAATTTTAAAAAGTTTTATTAAAAATTCAAATGCTATTTATTATTGAATTAAAAACTCAAACATTTTATTAAATTAAAAATATGCGTTACCATTTAAAAAAACAAAGTTGACACCCTTACCAGGCATAAGGGATGAACTTAAAAAGTATTACATATTTAATAATTCAAGAATAATGTGTAACTAAAGATAATAATAAAAAAAAAATTTTTAATTATTATTATTCTGTAAGTAATTGAGTGTGGGTTATGATAAAAAAAATCACCCTGTATATATAACTATAAGAAAAATAGTTCTGAATATTTCAGTTGTATTATCTACAGTATTCCCGGAACAAAAATTTGCTTTTTCAAAAATGATGTTGAAAAAGTACTACTTTCTATACGTATGTTTAAAGTTTTGGCCCTTCTGTATAAAGGGAAATTGTCCGATTAAAAAAAAAAGTATGACGAATGAGAGAAGTATATTAATAATATTTATCACAAAAAAAATGTACTAATCCATACATTTTTCAAAAAGTTATAGAAATATAAATTTAAAAATATAAAATATAAAAACAAAAATTTAAACACAAAAATAGCATATTTTTGAATATTGTAGCCACTTTCACTGTGAAGACAAATAAAAGTCCAAATTTTTTTTTCCATAATAAAATATATTACATTAGCTTTAATTTAGAATATATATAAAAGTGTCAGTATTTCTGAAACACTTTCAAGCTAAAATGTTTATTAAGTTAATTGCGTTCTAAATTGATTTATATTAAGCGTCTAAAATGTATCCTACAACCATTAATTTTGAGAAGATCTTAGGGAAATATAATTAAAAAAATAATAAATGTATTTATGCATATTTTAATGAATGTAACAGTTTTTCAAAGGGGGAAAAATATTATTTCTCTTCATGTATTACACCAATTGAGAGGCTTTAATAAACCTCAATAAGTCTCTCTAAAATTAATTTAATATGAATGTGTTATAAAAATGTTTATATTAACTTAGCCGTAAATGTATACATCTTTATTAAAATATTTATTATTACCTTCTAAAATTAGAAATAAGAAATGAAATGTAAACTATGTAATTAAATTGAAAATGTTTTTTCAAAAAGAACAAGATTATGTAGTGACTGATGATTGTAATTCTTACAACGAAATGGATATAATGAAAAAAATAGAAAATTTAAAACTACCTATTGACTCAGAAACTGGCGAGGTAAAATACTTGTCAGCATTAAATTCATTGGGGAAGAAGAAAACTAGGAATGATGACTGTACATCCGACCGAAAAGATTTAAAAAGTAAACAAATTAATAAACCTTTATGTAATTCTTTTTCTTCTTCAGCTTTTATAGGCCATTAAGACCCATCACTGCTTCACACAGCCTCCTCCATTCTTCTCGATCATTTGCTACTTCTTCCAGGGTTTCAACCCCAAGTATCCTAAAAATCTGGTTGCGCTCGTCTATCCACCTTTTCTTCGGTCTTCCCAATGGTCTCTTGTCTTCTGGTTTCTCCCAGATATTTAAAGCTTTCTACTTTTTCGAAACAATAATTTTCAATATTCAAATTTCTGTATTGGTGTAGTTGATTACCTCTCTCAACTACCATATATTTAGTTTTCCCTTCATTTATCATTAGCCGTATACTTAGCGCTCTGGATATTAGCTCCTTCGTGGTGGTTTTAGTGTCCTCTTCATTTGATCCAAGTATCACTACATCATCCGCGTAGGCTAGTAATGCATGCACTTTTCCATTAAAACTGACACCATTCGCTGTTTCTTAAACCTTCCTAACAACCTCCTATAGGGCAATGTTAAATAGTGTCGGTGAAAAGGCATCCCCTTGTTTTAAACCTACTGTTGTCTCGAATTCTTCTGAGTGATAGTTTCCGAATTTTATTTTACATCTTTATCTCTCAATACATGCTTTCACCATTTCGACTAGTTTTGCTGGTATACCGAAATTTTCCATGCTTTTCCACAGTGATTTTCTCTTGATAGAATCGTGTGCCTGCTTAAAATCTATAAACAGTATGTGTAATGGCTTCTTGTACTCGTAATGTTTTTCTATTAACTGTCGTAGTGTAAACACGTGGTCAACTGTAGATTTTCCTGGTTTAAAGCCGCATTGGTATTCATCTACTATTTCTTTCGTATATGGTTTTAGTCTACTTAAGATAACATTTGATAATATTTTATAAGCTGCATTGAGTAGCGATATACCCCTGTAATTATGATAGTCTTCTGGGTCCCCTTTTTTATATATAGGGCATATTACTGCTACCTTTCATTCTTCTGATATCTGTTTTTGTTGTCATATTTTCTTAATTAGTTCCCACATATCATAAACAATTAGTTCACCTCCCTTTTTTATAAGTTCAGCTTCTATCATGTTCTTACCTGGAGCCTTACCTTATTCTTTAGCATTTCTATTGTTTCTTAAATTTCTTCCTTCCCTGGTATGCATTGGTATTGTTCTACCGTTATGAGTACAGAGTTATCCTGTCCTTGGTCCTCTATTTCTGGTTGGTACAGCATTTCTTGGAACACTCTTTTGAATTCTTCAGCAATGGCTTGTTCGTCTGTTATCAGTCATTATTCTCATTTTTCATTATTGATGCTTTTGGTTTATATGGTTTTCTTATTTCGTTAGCTTTTCTAAAAAACATTTTAGAATTTTTGTAAGATTCCTCCATCGTTTCGATCCGTTGTTGTTCCCACTCTATTTTTTCTCTTCTTATTACTTTTTTCATTTTTCTTTGTTTCTGGGCTAGTCTTTTTTTATTTTCTATACCACATTCCATAACCACCAAGGATTTTGCTTTATATCTTTCTTACAGTTTTTATTGAACCATTGTTTGGTCTTTTTGCCGTTACTATACCGATTTTTTCTTCTGTAGCATCTTTTATCGTTTTCCTTAATTGTCTTTTAATTCTTTTCTATATTTATTAACTATCTATTCCTCTTTTAATTTGTCTATATCGAACTTGCGGTACATTTTTATTTTTTGATTCTATTTTGTGGGTAATTTTATATGCAGTTTTACCTTAACTAGAAAATGATCTGAATGGCCACTCACTCCCTTGTAGCTTCTACATCTTGCACACTATGTTTAAGTTGTTCATCTACCACAACATGGTCTATCTGGTTTTTTGTATAACCATCAGGCGACATCCAGGTTTGTTTATGTATTTCTTTGAAGGGAAAATACGAGCTACTAATAGTCATATTTTTTGACATCGCAAATGAGATAAGTTTGCTCCCACTATCGTTGGATATTTCATGTAGACTGTGTTCCCCAACTGTAATTTTGAATATATACTCCTTACCGATTTTCGCGTTAAGGTCTTCTATTATAATCTTTCTGGTCCTTTTAGGTATACTGTCATAAACTCTTTCTAGTTGGTTGTAAAACTCTTCCTTAGTTTGGTTCTCTTTATTCTCAGTTGAAGCATGATAGTTTATTACTGTAATGTTTCTCCATTTACACTCCAACTGTAGGAGATAAATTCTTTCGCTATGAGCTATGAAGTATCTTACAATTGGTACTATGTTAATGTTTACTATAAACCCAACGCCATATTCATGGCTTTGACCGCAATTATAGAATATAGTTGCGTTACGAAGTTTGATGTTCCCTACATTCGTCTATCTGATCTCTTGTATNTTTTATTTAGCAAAATGGTGGGGACCAAGAGATAAGCAACCCATAATAGCTATCCATGGCTGGCAAGATAATGCTGGAACATTTGATCCTCTGATTGAGTTACTTCCAAAAGAATTATCTATACTTTGTATAGATTTACCTGGACATGGTAGATCTTCCCATATACCTCCGGTAAAATAATGGCAATTCAAATTTATTGTTTTTATAATGATTTTCTTTAACTATTCTCTACATAATTTTAAGTTAAATAGTGAAGTCCAGATAGCATATTTTTACAAATAATATTAAAAAAAATTTTTATTGAATTTATCAAGAAAAAATTAAAAAAAACCCAGCACAGGGGGGTCGCGGCACAGTGGTGACGTGGCATAGATGGATCAAGTATAATGATATCTGACAGTGATTAAAATCACTATCATAAAAAAAGCTTCGATGTAAATCTTTAGATAGTGTTTAATTTTTAAAAATTTGTGTATTATTCAAAAAGCTACATGATCTGCCAGTTCCTTATTAATATCTTAATTAAGATAAA